TGATTTCATGGATGCAATTTGAAAGAGCATACAAAAGTGATGTTCTTCTGAAACCTAACCATATTTACTTATGAAAGAAGTCACACAATGGCCAGAATCCTGTTGCACAACTTTATATCACACAAAAGTTTTCTTATGCAAGGTTCAGGGAATTCCTTTAATCATGGGGAGTTTTTGGGAGCCGCAGAAAGGTGGGGGGGTAGCTCTTTCACACCTCCAAACCATGGCACCTGAACTTCCTAGTGACAGCAGCTTTTAGGCACTAAAGCATCCTCTTCCCAGTTCTGAAGTTCCTAAAGGCTTTCTCAGGTCAAATGGTGGGTGAGAGGTGGAGATAGAAAGCTTTTAATGCCCCCTGAAAAAGGGCTGCAGCACAGCTGCAGATGATGAGTTGTAACTTGTAAAACAGGATTTCAGCCAATGTTACACTTGAAGCCAAAGGTTTTTCTCTTCATGGAGTATATTACTAAGACTGTCTCTAGCATAAAGACTTCTTCAGATGCTAGTAAAAATGGCATGTTATCACACTGATGGACAAACTAGTATTGCAATATCTGGAATTTCTCACAGTTGAGAGTTATGGTACATCTCTTTGAGTTTTAGGAAGACAGTGAAGCTAGATCTGTCCCATCTGGTCTTCAATTTTTTTAAGATCTGGTAGGCATTTCGAACTATCTAATGAGCATTCTATACAGCTTAGTTTAAATGATTGGAGCTACTGTCCAGAATATTGTTTTCAGAATATTGCTTGGGTTTTCCACACACAGCTGTCTGCTCTTCAGAAAAAAATTGTCTGGGCATTTTTCACTTACGTAGTTTTCTCTGGGCAGTACCCATAAAAAAGGATTGGCATAGGACTTAGTCAGTCCTATCCCTCACCCCTCTCAAAGTATGTATGGACTTTAGATACATTAACAGTCTTTAGACTGACTTAATGGTCGCTGTGCTGTCATTCATATACAGGCATACGTCGGTTTATGAAATTAATGCTATTCCTTAAATAAACTGCACCAGAGCTGGCCCACTGAATCAATGGGGATACGTAGAGGGGGAGCAACCTACCTTCTTGTGCCAATACATTCCAAAGCTTGGGTGCAACTACTAAATAAGTGCAAAATTCTGCTCACTTAAATACACAGGCACAATGGCAAGTACACAAGTGGTAGTTTGACAGCAGTATGCCTGTTGCAAGACTGCTTCAGTCATGAGCTAGAGATTCCACCAGAAGGCAAAAAAACATTTGTAGAATTACTGTTATAATTCTCCTAACTTCTTCACTTATCCATAGGAACTACCTCCTTCAACTTAAAAGCCCAAAATAATTTAAAAGAAAGCAGAATAGCCCCACCTCTTATTATTTAACCATAAAGAACAATATAAAGTAAACAGGGTAAAAAAAACGTCCAGAAAAAAAAAGTCATTATTTTTTTCTAACTTACAAGAAAGATTGGGAAACTTTCCCTTAGTTGCTCAGAGGGCTTTAAGAATGATCAAGGGATATATCTGATAATTACAAAAGAGATGCCTCAGAGCATGCACAAAGTGCTTTTTCCTACAAATCTGCCACATCCATTCGATCACAGATCTGAGGTTAGGAATAAAAGCTTCCATGATAGAATATATGTTTTCACTTAGAGGCAAATGTCTTGTAACAAAGAATCCATGCATCGTGAAGAGGTCACATGCATAAGAGTTGGGCACTTGACAGATTGCAAACTTGTGAAGAAAAAGTTCAAGGCAGAGAAGTGCCAGTCCAGTTCTCCCCCCAGCCACTTTGGACTACAGCTCCTTCAGCCATAATCGGCAGGGACAGCTGGAATGATGATAACTGTACTATAAAACATATGAAGAACAACAAGCGGGCTGTCATTTTCAGTACTGAATGCATGAGACTCCCCAATCATTGCCGTGCTCCCAAAAAGAAGGGCAGCCTACTAGCTCAAATGGAGCTTCTCCACAATCTTCCTTCCTCCAGCTGATTTTGTACCTAAGTAGTACCATATCTTCCCAGCAAGCCAGAAGGTCTAGAGGGAATGGAGGCTTTGACTGCATACGGGCTGGCTCATTTCAATCTTCATATCATATTTGTCTGAGTGCCTCTCTCTCAGAACAACCTCTGAGAAGGCTGATTGCTGAAGAATTGATGCCTTTTTTAATTGTGGTGCTGGAGGAGACTCTTCAGAGTCCCTTAGACTGCAAAGAGAACAAACCTATGAATTCTGAAGGAAATCAACCCTGAGTGCTCACTGGAAGGACAGATCCTGAAGCTGAGGCTTCAATACTTTGGCCATCTGATGAGAAGGGAAGACTCCCTGGAAAAGACCCTGATGATGGGAAAGTGTGAAGGCAAGAGGAGAAGGGGACGACAGAGGACGAGATGTGTGGACAGTGTCATCGAAGCAACCAACAGGAATTTGACCAAACTCTGGGAGACTATGGAAGACAGAAGGGCCTGGTCTGCTCTGGTCCATAGTGTCATGAAAGAGGTGTGATGGCTCCTTCCTTCATGGGCTTCAGAAAACAAGTGAATATATGACTGTTCATACAGGCCTTCCCCACCTTACCCCAGATTGTTGTCATTTTGATTATTGACATTTCATTATTTTTTCTCTGTTTTGCCACTGTCTTTTCTATTTGTCTTTTTTTATATGGTTAGCAAAGATCTTGGTTTCTTTTTTGTTTTGTTTGTTGTTTTAGCTTTGATTATTATGGAAATTTATGTCATAATGCTGTAAGCTGCCCAGAGAAGTGGCTTGGCCACTAGATGGGCAGGGTAAAAATTTCAATGAATAAATAAATAAATATCAGAGCTGTGCTGCCCTCCATACATATATACACTTCTAGTTTGGTGCAATCTGGGTTCATGTGCAAATACTAAGCTTAATTCATTTTTCTTTAAACTGTTCTCCACCCTTAGACCTTTTGAAGCAATTTCCCCAGGAACTGGATACATAATGGCTGCCTCAAGCAATCAAGGACAAGAGCACATGAAAGGCACAGGTGCACACATACATATACAAATATAAAATCCCCCAATAGTCCACACCAATCCAATGCAGAAAAAAGTTTCCCCCCTCATATCATCTGGCAAACAACTAGAGCAGGCTTACAAAGCACGATCTGCTGAATTTCCCAAAAAGAAAATTCTCTTAGCTATTTAACATGTTCTTCTCACCAGATAGTCCTCTTCTAATCATGATAATTTATGATGCCTCCAAGGAAGACATAAAAACCTCACCATTGACATAAAAAAACAAATTAAACTGAAATGTGTACTTTATAGAAGTTATAGTATTTTATGGAACTATATTCTAAAGGTACAAGAGGAGTCAAACTGGCTTTAAGAGAGAATAAGAGACTTTTCAAATGAATCTATACTAGAGACATTAGGATTTTTAAAAAAATCAATTTTAAGTAATAAATAGGCATTTTCTCAATGTCAGAGTCCTAATTATTTGTTATTGTTCAGTTCTGCACTCCTGCCCCCCCAAATAATAACCCTAAATAAGCTAGTTTTTATTTGCACTGAGACGCAGAACAAAAACACAACAGCAACCTCTTCAAATTTAAAAGTCAGATCTTTTAAAGTAAGACTGCACTGTTACTTCAAAGCCATTCTTGCATTTGCCTGATGCATTTATATAGGAGGTATTCCTTTCTGTATGAGGTAATGAGTAGTCCAGATTGTCACTGTGATTTATTAGCACATCCTCTTGAAGCAGCACTGCACCTGCATTTGCACAGATGGAACACCCACGAAGGCAGATAGTTTATTAGGGGTGGCTCATCCTCCAATAACCCTCAGCATTTTAAAAGGAAATGCTCCAAATTTAGACTTGCTCCAACAGGTGTTTTTTACTGTTTGTCTTTGTGCAACTATAAATGTCTAAGGTGAGGCAAACAATTCCCTCCTCATGGTAATCATTCTTTGAAAACAAATATGTCAGCTCCATCATCACATTTGTACGGAGAGGGGTGAAGGAAATTCAGGCTCTTTTCCCAACCCCACAGCTTGCCAAATGCTCAGAGAGGTGGAGTTTAGAGAAATGAGTCTTCAAAGCACATATCAAAGACCCAGATGCAAACATCCATTGCACATCTATCCTCAGGGTTAAAGTCAAGATGGTGTAACACTTCTTTTGGTGTAAATTATTTGTTTAACCAGCACTTGGGTAGGTTTGCAGATAAGGATTCTCGTATCTCAGCTAACTGGTATACATTTAAAATCTGACTAGTAAGTATGGAAATGAACAGGACTAATATAAACAGAGAATCAGACTTTCCTATGGCACCATGACTAAATTGGCATTACATCAGTGCGGAAGTTGAACAAAGGCTTTAATCCTACTTAGTATTTTCCATGATACTGAAAGTGCATTAGAGAGGTCTTCTCCAATATAGGGTACTCTCCACCACTAAGAAACTAAAGCCAAATTGGAAATCTCTGGTGACAAAACACTTGATTTTAATCACTGCAGGGTGGATAAAAATCAGTGACTGAGGACTGAGGCTTTTAAGGAAGGGAGGGATGCTGATACTGAATAAAATTAATAATTGAATAAATTCACTTATTTCTCTGTGAGATTTAGGAGACATTTGATAATCAAGGAAGTCTTTACATGAGCAGTCTTTCTGATGCTGCAGTAATATATTTCATTGTGTTCACGTGTTTTATGTTACAATTTTATGGTTTGCAATATAGTATCATTTGTTCTAGTATGTTGCAAGCTTCCTTGACAGGTTCTCTGTATACTCAGCAATAAATACAAATCAATGTGTATAATTTATGTAATGAAAACAAAGTTTCAATGAGGGGGAAAAGCAAAACCTCTTGGACTCAGAACAAAGTCCTTTGGTAGTGTATACATTCAGCTCTGCCTATTAAACAACAACTATACACAATAGCTATCACTTTTATTTAGCAACCTATTTGATCTCAGTACCTCTGATTATATTGCCATACTCCAAATGAATTAGCTGTGAAGAATCCCAAAGCTTACTTCTGAAGGATGGATCTCTTGATGATGATCTCTTCATCCAAATCTGCTTCATTGGCCATAAAGAGCAATCGCTTTTCTGAATCATCCACTCCAATAAAGTCGCGCTGTTCCACTGAAGTAGAAAAATCATAACACAAGCATTTTATAGCCTGCTTTAATACTGTATAATCTAATGACAGCCGATCTAAAGAGACGTTCCACCTGAAACACAGGCATATACAAGTACCAGAAGTTTGCTCATGAAAGCTGAAAGCATTCATGAAACCTGTGATACACACACATAACTTACAGGAGGAAGCAAAGAAAGATCAGAAAGCATCTACAGCTAACTGCTTCTATAATTTGAAAGAAACACATGAAGAGAAAGCAGCTCCTCAAATACTTGGCGAACTTCACAGCTTGTCCATTTTGCCAGAGAATCTGCATTATTGCATTAAAATTTGTGATACTGAAGGCTATCATTGAAAGAATTCTTCTCTTCACAAATCAGACTAATTTTAACAAAGTTGATTGCTGTGGAGAGGTTTCATACAAAACATTCATGAACATGCTAAAGACTGAGAACAAAGTAATTTCTCTTTTAAACCCACAGTATGGAGCTTTAAAAAAGCAAATGGAAGAACTATGGTATGGTAGCACTTTTATTGAGGAGAAGCTGTGTTTATTCTACCCAAGCAGTGGAAGGAGGAACTGCCTAAATAATAACTACTTTGTTTCAATCATCACAATTTAAAATGTCATCATGCTGGACAACTACTGTATTTCAAACCATGCACAATTCATAAGTAGGAGTGAACAAATTATTTTTCCTGATTCTCTGTTTGGGCCACTTTAGATTTGTAATCATATAATTCAACATCCTGTGAATGTATGGTTTAGGAATAAGAGAATTTGGGTTTCTTTTTTTTGAAAGGGGAGATACTGACTTAAATCCAGTTGTTAGTCTCAACTAGAGTAGACCTGCTGGATCAATGAGATTTATCATTCACCAAATGTTCAATGTGTCTAGCCGGCACTATCAATTGGATTCATAGCATCAGGATACATTACAGTTACACTAAGTATGAATAGGTTTTGCAAAGTGTGACTAGGGAAGATCTGGAGTACCACCATTCCAGTTTGGAGATTTAACTGCATTATGTGAAAACCATCATATTTAGCACCAACTGCCAATCTCTATGAAAAATGTGAGCAGTCAAGACTCCTGGAATAAACAGCACCTTCTTACCTAACTTTTTCTTCCCTTTTTGTCCTGGTACAAGCTCTGTGGGTTCATAAGCTTTCTTCATTAGCATGGAGACTGTGGCATCATGAGCTCGGAATAAGTCAACTACTTCATGAAGAGCAACATCAGTGATCAGATCACAACTTAGCACCAACACATCTGTCTGTCAAAACAAAAGAAATTATGTAGTACATGTGCACAAACTTAAAAGATGCAAGTATTAAGGTAAAATGAAGTTAGGAGGGCTTTATGAAAAATGATGTCAAGACTGATCCAGCATTTTTACCATGAAACCACAGTTATCAATACATCTTTCAAAAAACTTTTTGCCTGCGATACATGCATAAACACAGTACTGTACAGAAAACTCAGTTTGGAAGTGACTAGTTATTTTTCCAGTATCGAGTAACATTGCTTATAATTACAAAGTAACTTTTAACTATAAGAGTCAACATATAAAAACTAGTTCACTTTTATTTGTTACTTTTACAACACTGTGACCAAACTTTTTCGGATTCTATGCCATTTTCTTATCAATCTTTATTGCCAAGGGACATTTTGGCTAAAATCCTATTGGTACAGTTTGGTGTGCCTAAGTCTGATGACATCATCATGACATTTTATCTTTATTTAAAAGTTTCATTTCCCCCACTTCCAGGTTCCAAGGCTGCTTAGTGATCTCTTTCAATCTAGGAGGGGCCTGTGATGGGGCAGCTGTGATTTTTGAACATTAAAGGCTTCACTTTTTAATTAAAAATATGTAAATTAGCCTCTTTAACATATTCCCCCCCCCCACAGCCATACACCCTTGGGTTACTGGCCAATCTGAAAACTGGCTCTCAGCATCATTGAGACCACCCACCTCCAAGCTACAGGAAAGCATACTAGGGATATCTTTCAATCCTGCTACAACTCACCTCAGTGAATGGTCTGAACTGTGACAGGCTAAAGAGGAAAGGTTTTCTCTTATTCATCACTCAACCCCTCTGTATGAAGATCAAAATGTACCATTTATCCCTCCCCCCCAAAAAAAACAATACCTAGAAAACATTTTGTATAAAATAGTGTTTATCTAAAATCCCCTATTTTCAGAGTCTCACTCTGCAGGAAATGTTTCTTAAGGCCTAATCTACCTCTGCCAGTGCAATTTTCATTAAAATTACTACAGAATTAATTTACAGTACAATTCTAAGCAGATTGACCCCAATGTAAAATGAGTTAATAGCTCTTACTCCTAGCAAGTGTATTCAGGAACTTCAGGAAGGTTTTTGTTTTAAATGATTTTCTGTTAAATGAATCTCAGAAAACCACAAAATCACATAGCATGATTCGTTGCAGTGTGATCATGAAATTTAGCTGTGCAGGGTTAACTGGAATGAAAAAGAAGTGGTATATATTCATATGTTGCACAGACGTTTTCAACATGCTTTCTACATAAAATAAAAAATAAGGGCAAACATGATGTGGCACCTTAAAGACTAACTGCTAAATAAGGGCAAACATGATGTGGCAACTTAAAGACTAACTGCTATATTTTACTGTGAGCTTTCATGGACAAGTTCAACTTTCGTTTTTACCAGAGATGCTAGCACACATTAACACAGATACCTCTTATATAACTCCACTTAATCTTTGCCAAGAGGAAGCCTTGGTTGATCTCTGGAATAGGGAAATGGAAAAAGCAATTGACAGGATTGTTCCTAAATGTCTCCTCCCACAAAGTAGAGTCAAACTGGCCACCTGATTAACTGGGGAGTTAGTGGTGATGAAACCAGCAGGACATAGTCTTGAGTTACAATGGTGGAAAAATCAGGAATGAATCTAACAGAAAAAGGGCTACGGCTCATTGGAAGGCCTATTCTGTGGCACTGCCAGCAGCAAGGAAGTCATTCTTCCCTGCCACCATTGCGTCTGCACAGAATTGTCTGGCAGAGCTCTTTCGAGTGGTCAAGGGCCTACTAAATCATAGCACAAAGGAAGAGAATGCAAACCACACTGTAGCTCATTGTGAAGACATTACACTTTGCAGGCAAAATTCCACAGATCCACTCTGACTTGGAAGCTATAGTTGATACAGGTCCTTTGAATGTAACTGTGACCCTTGCTTGCCCTGTGATAATGGGCAAGTTTCAGTTTCTGCAACCTGATAATGTGGACAGGTGAAAGGTGAAGGCTAACACATGTCTGCTGGACCCTTGCCCTTCCTGGCTTATAAAAACTGCCAGAAAAGGCCTGGTTGAGTGGGTAGGAGGAATGGTGAATGCCTCCATGCAGCAGGGCAGGATCTCAACATGCTTAAAGGAGGCAATAATAAGATCTTTGTTGAAAAAGCCCTGTTTGGATCCCACAATACTGAATAATTACTGACAAGTTGCCAATACTCCATTCTTAGACAAGGTGCTGGACTGGGTTGTGGCTTCTCAGATCCAGAGGTTCCTCGTTGTTTAGTCGTTTAGTCGTGTCCGACTCTTCGTGACCCCAAGGACCAGAGCACGCCAGGCCCTCCTATCTTCTACTGCCTCCCGGAGTTGTGTCAAATTCATGTTGGTTGCTTCGCAGACACTGTCCAGCCATCTCATCCTCGGTCGTCCCCTTCTCCTCTTGCCATCACACTTTCCCAACATCAGGGTCTTTTCCAGGGAGTCTTTTCTTCTCATTAGATGGCCAAAGTACTGGAGCCTCAGCTTCAGGATCTGTCCTTCCAGTGAGCACTCAGGGTTGATTTCCTTTAGAATTGATAGGTTTGTTCTCCTTGCAGTCCAGGGGATTCTCAAGAGTCTCCTCCAGCACCACAATTCAAAGGCATCAATTCTTTGGCGGTCTGCTTTCTTTATGGTCCAGCTCTCACTTCCATACATCACAACAGGAAAAACCATAGCTTTGACTATTCGGACTTTTGTTGGAAAGGTGATGTCTCTGCTTTTCAAGATGCTGTCCAGATTTGTCATCGCTTGCCACCCAAGAAGAAGGCGCCTTTTAATTTCAGGGCTGCTGTCTCCATCTGCAGTGATCATGGAGCCCAGGAAGATAAAATTTGACACTGCCTCCATATCTTCCCCTTCTATTTCCCAGGAGGTGATGGGACCAGTGGCCATGATCTTAGTTTTTTTGATGTTGAGTTTCAGACCATTTTTTGCACTCTCCTCTTTCACTCTCATTACAAGGTTCTTCAATTCCTCCTCACTTTCTGCCATCAGAGTGGTATCATCTGCATATCGGAGGTTGTTGATATTTCTTCCGGCAATCTTAATTCCGGCTTGGGTTTCTTCCAGTCCAGCCTTCCGCATGATGTATTCTGCATATAAGTTAAATAAGCTGGGGGACAATATACAGCCTTGCCGTACTCCTTTCCCAATTTTGAACCACTCAGTTGTTCCATGACCAGTTCTAACTGTTGCTTCCTGTCCCACATATAGGTTTCTCAGGAGACAGATAAAGTGGTCAGGCACTCCCATTTCTTTAAGAACTTGCCATAGTCTGCTGTGGTCCACACAGTCAAAGGCTTTCGCATAGTCAATGAAGCAGAAGTAGATATTTTTCTGGAACTCTCTGGCTTTCTCCATAATCCAGCGCAAGTTAGCAATTTGGTCTCGAGTTCCTCTGCCTCTTCGGAATCCAGCTTGTACTTCTGGGAGTTCTCGGTCCACATACTGCTGAAGCCTACCTTGCAGGATTTTGAGCATAATCTGGTTTCAGCCCTTGTTGTGGGACAGAGACTGCTTTGGAACTGGATAAAGGGAGTGTGCCCATGTTGGTTCTGCTGGAACTCGCAGCAGCTTTCAGTACCATTGAACATGGTATCTTTCTAGTCCAGCTCTATGGGATATGACTTGGAGGCATTGTTTTATGGTGGCTTCAGTCTTTCCTGGATGAGAGAACTCAGACGGTGATGCTGGATTTCTGTTCAACACCCTGGCCGCAGGCCTGTGGGATTCCTCATTCTCTTTTGTCTCCTATGCTCTTTAACATCTACATGAAGTAGCTGGAAGAGTTCTTCCAGAGTTTTGGGGTTTGGTGTCACCAGCATGAACATGACACCTAACTCTATCTCTCCTTGCCATCTAATTTTGAGAAAGCTGTTTCAACTCTAGATCAGTGTCTGGTACCAGTAATGACCAGGATGAGGGTGAATAAAGTGAAACTTAATCCAGACAAGACCTCCTGATGCTCCTGATCAGTCGAAAGGCAGATCAAGGAACAGGGATGCAGTTTGTGCTGGGGATGGGCTAGCACTCCCTCTGAAAACACAGGCACACAGATTGGGGGGAGGGCAGTTTCCTGGATTCATCTCTGAGCCTAGATCTCCAGGTTTCAATGGTGGCCAGGAGTGCCTTTGCACAGTTAAAACTTGTGTGCCAGCTGCACCCATTCCTGGAGAGGTCTGATTCACAGTGACACATGGCTTAGTTACATCCTGGCTAGATTACTGTAACACGCACTCTACATGGGGCTGCCTCTGGATAGTGTTTAGAAACTTCAGTGGCTCCAAAACAAAGCAGCCAGATTGTTGACTGGAGCTGGTTACAAGGATTGCAGAACCCCGTTACAGCAGCTCCACTGGCTGCCGATCCACTTCTAGGCACAATTAAAAGTGCTAGTTCTAATCTATAAAGCCCCAAATGGCTCAGACCCAAGCTGTCTCAAGGACTGTATCTCACTTTATGAGCCTGCCCTGCATTAAGATCAACAGGGGAGGCCTTTCTCTTGGTTCCACCACCTTCACAGATGCATTTTCTGAGGACACAGGAGCGGGCAGACTCTGCTACTGCTTCGAAACTTTGGAACTCCCTCCCACAGGAGGTCAGACTAGCCCCATCATTGCTGTCCTTTGGCAAGCTGGCAAAGACTTTTCTCTTCCGGCAAGCTTTCCCTGAGTTGATTGGCTGCCTGAGTGGAGTTTTTAAATGGATAGTTGTGCCTTAATGCTTTGATTGGTTTTTTTGGTACTGGTTTTGTTTACCATTTCTTAGAGTGGTATTTGTTTGAATCTTTTTTTAAAAATGGATTGTTGTGCCTTACTGCTTTGAATATGTTTTTGTTACTGTTTTTGCTTAACATTTCTTAATGTCATATTTCTTTGATCCTTTTCAATATTTATATACTTAGTGTTTTAGCTTCAAAAATATTGTCCTGTAATGGTATAAACTGACACAGGTCCTTTTT